CCTGAACACTAAAGAAATCCTCCTGCTACTTCTGTGAGCACTCACATCATTACACATTAGTGGTCCAATTCCACTGGCAAGCATACAAATTTCCCCCTCATGCTGGACAGATACTGTGGTATTCTTTGGATTATGAGCTGTTGTTTTGTTTTGTTTTCTTCTCCATACTTTTCTCTTCTTCCCATCATTTCTTTTGCTAGCTTTCTGATAAGTTTATTGTGGTTTTGCAGCATAATGATAACCTCCATCTTTCTGGACATCATATTTAGAATTCTCATGAAACCATACCAAATGCAAGCTCAACACTTGGAATCACTCTTGAAACTCAAGATATTTGTCTGCGTCATATGTAATTTGGCCTCACCTGACCATAAAACTGCTGGTCAGCAGGTGTCCAGCGACTTTTGAGCCTATGAAAATGGCTGTGTAGAAAAGAAGGGGGGAAAAGTCAAAACTTACACTCCTCCAGGTATGAGCTGCTGCTTGAAATACTCTTCTCTATCTCTCACAGATCTCTCACACCAAAGATGACATGGTCCTGTTCTCCAGCTTGCCCAGAGAAGCAGTGCTCCCACGAAAGGCTGAGCAAGAAACCGCAGTCCAGCAACGACCACAGATGGAAAGAGTAAGAGGCAAAGGCGATTAGCAGCTTAACACTGTGATAAATAATAGTTGTTGTAAATAGCATCAGAAAGCAATGAATACATTAGCCTGTGAGTCAAACGCTAGTGGTGGTTTGATATTTAACGAGACCTGTTCCAGTTAATTTCCAACTCTCTAGTTTTGTTCTTTCACTCAACTAAAGCAACATTGCACAATTAACAGTTGTAATTAATCCTTTATTTATCTTATAGTGGGCCTTGGTGGAGCCCTTGAGCTGATCCGCTCACTGAAACATTTAGCTCCTCTCCTTTTAAACCATCACTATAACTTTTGGCCCTCCACTGATTCTAAACGGTGTTGCAGCAGGTGCAAACCACTCTTTTTGATGGAAAACAGAGGAAGAGTAGAAAGCAATGTCTGAATGTAGCTGTGCAGAGCAGTCTGAATCCTGAGCTTTTGGCTTACTCTTGCTGCTAATCCTTTTGCGTCTACTACACCACAAACAGGTTACTTATAACTAGAAGTAGTAAGAAGCAGTAACTTGATTACGTTTCACATCTCCTCTGTAATTTCATGCATTATTGCCCCCACCAGTTTTGTCCACTGACATGAAAACGTTAAAGCGGGCTCAATCTTTGATCCCGCAGACCGTCAGTCAGTCCAGCCGCAGCTCCAACCAGGCGTCTGTCCAGAGCAGCGATCGACGATCGGGCCCACGTGTCAAATCACAGCTCCCCATCGCCAGCAGCCGAGGGCAGCACACCCGCGTCTCTGCGGCCACCCCAAGCAGCAGCAATAACAATAATGGCAGCAACAGCCCCAGCCGAATCCAGACGCCCCACAGCCGCAGCAGAACTACAAACAGCAGCACCAACAGCAGAACAAAGCAGGCTCCATCCAGCAGCAGCAGCAACAACAACTACTACAGCAACATTGACAACAACAACCAATCACATGAGGAGATCTGGATTCTCCACAGAGACCTGCATGAAAACAAATAGACATTTTCCTCCCTCCTCCTCCCCACGATTCTTCCTGTCATGATGTAAAGACTAAGTACCTGACAACCTTTGACTCTTAGTATTTGTACTTGTTACTAGTACTTGTTACACTGTAATACAGTTGTGTACTTGGGGACCATAGTTTCATTCTATTACAGTATTTGAATTATGTGATTGCTTGGGGTTAAAGAAAAGTGGCTTCTCGTGTGTGGGAAACAACACAAGGTAATGCAGCAGGTTGTTTTACTGTTGCCTTAATTCCAGTGCATCAACCTGCAGCAAGTACGTGACAGTATTCAGAGACGGGTTAAGAACTGACTCACCTATAGTATTTAACCTGCCTCAAAACAGCCCTGGCACAGTATTCTTGTGTACTTAAAGTGAAATGCTGTACTTCTGAAGCCACTGAGTGTTTTTGGATCAAAGAAGGAAAAAGCAGGTTTTTTCTCTTTCTTTTGTTTTTGATTTTTTTTTTTTGCTTTCTTTTGGGTATTAAGTATTTTTGAAATATTCACGTGTTTTATCTTTAAATAGTTGCAAGGTTGGTTAAAATACTGTTGAAATTAATCAGGGTTTTACCAAATATTTGTACATAAGAATTAGTAAGTCTAAATGCTCTATAGATCGGTGTATGTGGTATGTGGATGCTTGTACAGTGATATAAATCTTAAAGCAAAACAGCTGAGAAAAACAGGCTACTTGTATATAGTGTTTGTAAATTGAGTTTTGGTTCTGAGCCCTTCACTTGTTTCATAGTGAAGGTGGTTGTGGCAATAAGTAATAGAACTGTAGAAATACAGGATGTCCTCTGTCAATTGTAAGCCATAATAAATATTTTCAAAGCTCATCAGTTACCCTGACTCGTGTTCAGCTGATCCCCAACTCTGTAATTCACTTTTTATTCACGCTTCCCATTATTACTGTGTGTGTTTTTATTTTTAAGGACATGTTTTATCGGAAGCGTTTATGTACATATATATAAATATATCTATACATATGTACAGGAGAGATTTTAGGCAACATATGATTTTGATCTGTACGATAGCTGTTTGAAGTTTAAAGAATTGTCTTTTTTGTCAAGCACAAAAATTAAACACAGCACTGTCAAAACCCCCGTCAGCCTTTCTCGTTTTTTATTTGTTTTTGCTTTTTCTTGTTATTGTTTTGTTTGTTTTTTATCTGCATTTTTTAAAACTGGCACACTGAGTCAAAAGACTTAAGAGTTGACCAACCATGTCATAAAATATGGTGAATTGTATCAAGTATCAAGTGTTTTTAAAAAAAATTTATATTATTCTGAATATTTAATATTTTAACACCTCTCCTGACTATTAATTATTTACTTATTTATGTTTATTTATTACACTGTCCTTATAGTTGTTGGGCTATTTACAAGATGATGAGTACTAGTAGATGTTTGAAAACTACTACTACTATATATTATACTATATTCACGGAGTCACATTTAGTGAGACTTCTGTATGGTTTATAGTTTTAAAATCTTCTGTGTATGTTTGTAAATCTGGGTTATCCAGAAAACATTAGCTTCACATAGTTTCAAAACAAAGATGACTCATTCAGAAGTTGGAAAACAGGAGCTGTATCCATCTTTTATATGGTCCATTGTTAATACCAGGACACTTCAGCTTTAGTCAATAAATCAGCAATATAATGCGAAATTTTCAGCCATGTCTCAAGACTGAAAGTTCTTTATTGCCGTTGTAAAAAAAGAAAGTATACAGTTTATCAGAATCATGGTCTGAAGGCTTTGTTGTGCCATGAGGAGCACTGTAAACTCAGTAATCTCTATGACAACCTGGCGTCCACACGAGCAGAGGGAAGAGAGAGGCCTCGGACGGAGCTTCCACAACCAAAGGGGCAGGAGCACTAGAGAACCAGAGGCAGTGGGTAGCCAAGGCCGCCCAGCCAAGGGGCAACAATAATAATAATAATAATAATAATATACAGCGGCTTGCAAAAGTATTCGGCCCCCTTGAACTTTTTCACAAATATGAATCAATTGTATTGGAATTCCACGTGAAAGACCAACACAAAGTGGTGCACACGTGAGAAGTGGAACGAAAATCATACATGATTCCAAACATTTTTTACAAATAAATAACTGCAAAGTGGGGTGTGCGTAATTATTCAGCCCCCTTTGGTCTGAGTGCAGTCAGTTGCCCATAGACATTGCCTGATGAGTGCTAATGACTAAATAGAGTGCACCTGTGTGTAATCTAATGTCAGTACAAATACAGCTGCTCTGTGACGGCCTCAGAGGTTGTCTAAGAGAATATTGGGAGCAACAACACCATGAAGTCCAAAGAACACACCAGACAGGTCAGGGATAAAGTTATTGAGAAATTAGAAATGGAAGGAGTATGGCACAACTGTAAACCTACCAAGACAAGGCCGTCCACCTAAACTCACAGGCCGAACAAGGAGAGCGCTGATCAGAAATGCAGCCAAGAGGCCCATGGTGACTCTGGACGAGCTGCAGAGATCTACAGCTCAGGTGGGGGAATCTGTCCATAGGACAACTATTAGTCGTGCACTGCACAAAGTTGGCCTTTATGGAAGAGTGGCAAGAAGAAAGCCATTGTTAACAGAAAACCATAAGAAGTCCCGTTTGCAGTTTGCCACAAGCCATGTGGGGACACAGCAAACATGTGGAAGAAGGTGCTCTGGTCAGATGAGACCAAAATGCAAAACGCTATGTGTGGAAAACTAACACTGCACATCACTCTGAACACACCATCCCCACTGTCAAATATGGTGGTGGCAGCATCATGCTCTGGGGGTGCTTCTCTTCAGCAGGGACAGGGAAGCTGGTCAGAGTTGATGGGAAGATGGATGGAGCCAAATACAGAGCAATCTTGGAAGAAAACCTCTTGGAGTCTGCAAAAGACTTGAGACTGGGGCGGAGGTTCACCTTCCAGCAGGACAACGACCCTAAACATAAAGCCAGGGCAACGAGGGAATGGTTTAAAACAAAACATATCCATGTGTTAGAATGGCCCAGTCAAAGTCCAGATCTAAATCCAATCGAGAATCTGTGGCAAGATCTGAAAACTGCTGTTCACAAACGCTGTCCATCTAATCTGACTGAGCTGGAGCTGTTTGCAAAGAAGAATGGGCAAAGATTTCAGTCTCTGTGCAAAGCTGGTAGAGACAGACCCTGAAAGACTGGCAGCTGTAATTGCAGCAAAAGGTGGTTCTACAAAGTGACTGCACTCAGACCAAAGGGGGCTGAATAATTACGCACACCCCACTTTTCAGTTATTCATTTGTAAAAAATGTTTGGAATCATGTATGATTTTCGTTCCACTTCTCACGTGTGCACCACTTTGTGTTGGTCTTTCACGTGGAATTCCAATACAATTGATTCATGATAATATTTGACTAATCAGATTAAAATGTCAGGGATGTAACAATAACTAAGAACTGGGTTAGAGGAAGGGCTATGTTCATATTTAACATAGCTACATGTCAAATAATACTATTAAAATAATGAGTTAAGGATATGCACCAATTAAAAGAATGTGAACGGGAGAAGGAGGCAAGGTCCACTGAACTGTGAATTACACAGAGCCACCATAGTAAGGTCTAAGCATTGAAAATGACCCATAGCTCGTTTCCTTTAAATTATATGGGTGTAATGATTGGATATATATACAGCTTTACATTTGGTGTTTTTTTTTAAAGGATGTAATGAATATGTCAGTCACTATAAGATCCAAAAATGAAAATGTTTTCCATACAAACATCTGAGAAAAAGAACACGACCACATCTGAATTCTCAAAATCTTTAGTTTTACTGGAAATATAGTTGATTGACAAATACATTTATACATTTCTGGACATCTCTGCCCATTTCCTATGAGTAAGAAACAGTTGTGTTCTTAATTTACAATGTTAAAAAAAATGTCAGTTAACATATTGAGGCATTTCTTCAAGGTACCTTCATTTACTGCAGCGGTGCTTTACAAAATTATAATTCAAAATACAATGAATGTTAGAAAAGTCTAGAGCGAAGAACTGAGAAATCGTGAGAATTGATAAACAAAGAAAACCAACATGCTTTGCAATTGTACAGCAGTAGCTCTTAAAAAGTTTCTCTCACATTTCTTTTTATTTATTTATTTTTTTTTTACTTTGGACAAATTACCAGCTTCTCTCCATAAATCATAAAACAATAGCGGCTGAGAAATTAAAGATAATTGTTTTCAAATGTCATTATTCTACTTTTCATTGAGGATTTGACATGAAAGTGCAGATTTTTTTAATTGTGTGACTGTTTCCGTGCTGTGAAAGCTGGTGAGTACCTCAGGGTGTCTCTAAAGTGCATACGCATAGAAAAATAAGGGTATCAGAGTCATCACAAACTATTAGCGTCAGCCAACAGCGTCACTGTTTTGTGGACATCAGTTAAGTTACTTAAGGGTCAGACTGACTGACTATAGACAGAAGGAATTTGGGACTATTTGCTTTATTTAAAAGAAAAATCCAAAAAGACACACGAAGCCACTGCAGAAGTCTCATTTAATGAGCTGCTGTTATTGCTCTTGATCTCCTAATTTGGCACATACAGCCAAAATAAATAAAAAGTAAAAGCCAACGAGCACGTCATTAAAATCAATCCTTTGCACCAGACACCTTGACATTTTTCCAGACTTGTGCGTCTTGAGCCGTTCCTAGGCAGGTTTTACAGTGTGATAGGATGCTTTGTCTTTCTTGGGGAGGCTATGAGGTGGCCTGGAGGCTTCAGCCCAGCACCAACATGCTGGTCGAGGATACATCAGTATGCCTTTGGAGTGCCTGTGTGAGTGCTGCTAAATCTCAGAGCAGTTCTAACAGCAGCTTCGCATAAATGAGGAACTTATAATGAATTATAGTATGGTTATAATTTGATTCTTCGAAACTATTGAATAACATTTGCTAATATCAACAGTTACGTTCAATTTGACTTGTTCAAATTATTCCAGTCTGGTGTGGAGTGTATTGTCTCACTCTTGCTAACTGCTTGGCTATCGGGATGCCTGCTATACAAGTAAAAATATAAATAGTGGGATTTGAATGGCTGCCTTTGGGGACTGTGTAGGGTGTGCATGAAGACTCCTGCTTGATACTGATACATTTTGGTAAAACTGAAGAACATCTGTTCTTGTGATTGTTCTTATTTTTTAACGGTTCCATATGCCAAGAATAGAGAACAAAGTATGTGGCCTTATTGTTTTCCTGTTTGCTCACAATGCTCAGTTACATGCTCCACACTCATTCAAAATGCATCTAAAAAGTCAGGCTTCTACAGTGGCTGTTATTAGACGTTCAGTCTGAGGTGCTCCAGTGAAAATGAGCTGGCTGTTAGCCAAAATGCTTTTCAAAAACAAACAAACAAAAGACTGCAACTGAAACCAATAAAAATCCTGTTTAAACAACAAATCATGCAAAAAGACAAGTATGGATTTCTTTCCCTTTTTTCAAAGCAAGTGCAGAAGAGCACATCTGTGAGAACCGTCTGAACTCAATGAGCTCATGTACTGTTTGTTCATCACTGAAACCTGCCGGAGCTCTTTAATGAGCTAAATAACAGTGTCCACTTAGTCAGACTGAACCCGGACTCTGGTGCATGCTATGATGTGCTTTGTTTACATGTCAGCTCTTTGTAAGTCATACGATTCTTCCTCTATTTAGCTGGTCCCTTTCCATACTCTTCTTTATCTTCCATGCAGTGTGCTTGTGAAGCCTTTCATTCACACACGCACGCACGTACACACACACACACACACACACACACTGATTTTCCTTTAATTTAGTGGCAGAATTCACCATTGCACACATTTTCTTTAAAAAAAAAACAAACAAAAAAATAATACTCCTAAACTTGCATTTGTGTTATTCTAATGTTTGAGACACCTGCAATTTTGCATCTGTACTCTCATCCTTCATATTTTGCACTGTGCACACTCAGTCATGTTCAGGCAACTTTACATGCCTATTCTGAGGTGGGAGCGACACAGTGGTACAGTGGTTAACACATCACCTCACCTCCTTGCTGGCTTCTCTTTTTGTGTTGAGCATGTTCTTTGGGTTCCTCAGCATCTTCCAGTTCTTTCCCACAGTCCAAAGACATTCGTGTTAGGTTAGCTCATGGCTTTACTGGTTTTAGATGTGAGCGTGTGGTTCACTGTCTCTGTGTTAGCCTTGTGATGGAGTAATAACTTGTCCAGAGTGGCAGGTTTTACTCTGCTTTGTGATACAGCACTTTGTGACTGCTTCTTTGTGAAAAGCTCTCTGTAATAAACTTTACTTACTTATTATTGCTTATCCTGCCTTTTGCCCTATGTTGGGATCGGCTCCAGTCACACCTTTGATAAAAGGTTAATAAAATAGTAGGTAGCTGGACTGTTTAAGTAAATTAGGACATAGCTTTTTTTTTTTTTAATGTGTGCAAAGCTTCATAATCCTGGTTTTACTTTGTGACAGTGAAGTGGATCTCAGCAGCTATGTTTGGCTATGAAAAATGTGGCTTCAATTTCTGTAAGACACATTTCACTATTCTCCTAAGAGTGGGTAAAATAATATGCCTGAGTTGTCCAAACTGATTCAGATTCTGTCATTATGGCCTCGTCAATCTTGCTTCAGAAATTAACCCCAAATCATTGGTCTTCAAACAGCTGTTTGTTTGTCCCTGCAGGTGTGTATGCGCATGTGTGTTTGCAGCTGGCCAGTTAGAGTCTCGTGTCATGGACTTCATCTTCTGCTTCCTCTGGCAGTGAGGAGATCTTGGCGGTCTGTGGCGTCGGCCTCTTGTTGGAGTTAAGGCGGTGAAGCGTTGGGAAGAGGCGGAGCCGATCGGCTGTGCTCATGGCCTGTTTGAGGTGACTCTTCTCATTCATGAGCTTCTGAATGGAGTCGTATGTTTTCATGGAGCTGCCTTCAATCATCTGAACAGGAGGGAGAGAGGAAGGAGAGGCAGCTTCATTTTGTTGTTCATCAAAATGTTCTTTTTTTCTGTAAAATATGCCAACTCACCAGAAATGTAAAAACAAATTGCCGCATTTATATATATTTGTTTTATTTTGAAAACTCACGTATGGAAAAAGTAGTTTATGTGCAGGGTTATTATTCTGCAGATAATAATTCTTGTCCCCTGTAAGGAAGTTTTGATCTTCCCATTAAGGCAACACGATTTGTTAGCATTGCAAACGACCCAGCACTTTCAAGACCCACAGCATGAGGGAGTGTTGATAGATGATCTTACAGTGCTCTACTCGAGTTTCATAAACTTCGACAAACGTATGAGAGCAATTCAGAAATAAACTTAGACCAGAAATTACCAGGAATGACTGACAGTCCGTCAGTGGATCCACCCTGTGTTCTGACATGATGACGGTGCAGCCTGAAAACGCCTGCTTCAGTGTCTTCCTCAGGACCTTCAGTGTTCTGTTCACACACACACACACACACACACACACACACACACACACACACACACATTACTGTTATCAAAGGCTTTTCCTTCACTGCTATTGCATTAGTTTAACCTCAGGCAAATTCTGCAGAGCATTAAGCTAGACGGTTTATTATAAGCTTCATTTACTACCCCCCCCCCCCCCCCCCCTACTCCACCATCCTGCACATATGGTTACACACACACATACATTAGGCTTAAATTACTGTAAGCAATCTGGATTGTCACCATATGCAGTGACAGGAACACCACACATGCTGGATTTGCATGACTGCCGTTGCAATGTGACTTCACCTTACTGCTTGGCTTTAACAGGGAGAACGCCACAAACAATATACAAACTCTTTCAGGAGGCAGCTGTGTTTAAGCATGTGTTAGCAAAGGAACTTCATAGACAAAACATTTTTTATTCACTTCTAATGAAAGCTACTTGTCGCCGCTCCTTTGTCACATGGGGTCATACCTTTGGGCAATACCTTTGAGCTAACTTTAGCTATTTCATTTTTTTTTTATTGTTGTGATTTTGATATGTTTGTCTGAAACAGGTCTCTCTTGTAAATCAGACACTGAGTCTCAATGGAACTATTTGTTTAAGCGGAATAAAGAAAATCCAGCCGTGAGCTTGTAATGCTATTTTTTCCTTGGATTCTACTGAAGTAGCCTTGAATCAGTCACAGTTCTTCTGGGTCTTTGTGTAGCTACTCAGTTCATCGACTGACTGAAACAAGCCTCCTTCACCTCCTTCTCCTTTAAGCCAACTTTCTTCTGATTGGTGGCCCCTAACAAATAAAAAGTCTGAATAGCAGACTGGGTGGGTCATGTTAAAGATATACCTTATGATTCAAATCATACAGATCTAAAAGTAGAAAAAATGCCCAAAATTTGGCATATAGAGCAGACTGAAGCAAGAGCTTTTAGATCCAAGGGATTACTTGCATAGAGACTGATCTCATTGTTTAAATCATTGTGGACGGTTATCGCTCAGGTCATCTACCAATCAGAAGGTTAACTGTTAACTTAATCGCTTTGTGTTTGCAGCAGTTAGGAAACCCTGCACATACATATAAGTGCTGTGTGACGGGATGAATGAGACTTGCAGTAGAAAGCACATTGAGTGCTCAATTGAGTAGAAAGGTATTATAAAAGTACCGCTGTAGTGACCATTTAACAGCACATGTAAGCCCCATATACTGGTCTAGTGATATTTTTAAATCAAATGTGATTTATATATGTTGATGATTGAGTAGACAGTGTTTAATACTCACATAGGGTCAAGGTAGGCAGATGGCTCATCCAGCAGCAGGATACGGGCTCTACTGAGGATGGAACGGGCAAGACAAACCAGCTGTTTGTGTCCATTGCACAGCACGCTGCCTCCATACTCCAGCTGAAAGTCTAGCTTGTCTGGGAACTGCTCAATCACAGACTTCAGACCCACCTGAGGGCACACAAGACAGAGTTTACTTTTACTGAAAGTCTGAAGTTCCACATTATCTTTACCTCATTTTTATCATTTTAAAATATTAGTGTAAACTTCATGACATCAATGTTGAAATGGTGGTAAAACTGCATGGCAGTAATTTTACCAACATCACTATCCTATGCAGACAGTACAATAATTCCATCCTATGTGGCAAAATATTTAATCTTCTATGGCTTATTTCTCATATTTATTCCTAGCATGAGGGGAAAACTCAAAGAGGGCATGTATGATTGTGTCTAACTCCAAAACATGAGCTTTATTATCTCCAATTGAATCAAAACAAGGCTGCTTTACCAATCATAACTAAATTACGAAACAAAGAAAACACCGCCTCCTCCTCACCTCCTCAGCCACCTTCCACAGTTCTGTGTCGCTGTAATTTCCATGTGGGTCCAGGTTCATCCGGAAAGTTCCAGTCAGGATAAAGACTTTCTGTTCAAGAAAGACCAGAGACTTAAACAGTTAACTCTCAACAGACTGGATTAAAAAGATATCTTGTAACATCCAAGAATAATGACTTAAGTTTCAAAACATTAAGTCATTTTTCTTGTAAAACAAAGGGGGGGCCTAGCAAAAAACAGTTTGGGAACCACTGGCTTAGACCGTTTTTAGACCCAGATAAGCAGTAGATGCTGGGGTAACTGTCTGAAACTGCATTAACTATCAGAAGTTAATCACTCATAGATATACCTGTGGCACCACACCGAAGGCCTTCCTCCATGTTTGCAATGAGACAGAGTTCCAGGAAACACCATCGATAGAAATGTCTCCTTCTGTGGAGGTGAGACGCAGCAGAGCAGACAGCAGGGTGCTCTTCCCTGAACCTGTTCGACCCAGCAGACCAACCTGCACACAGTCATAACATTTTCATGTTAAATGCTCATATATCCAGCTTTTTCTGTTATGTAATACAATTAATGAACTCGGTCAACATGCCCTCATGTTGAACGGGTTCATTGACCTTGTGTCTGAATGCTCATCCTTTTTATTGTAATATAGATGACAGCACTTTTTCATTTGCATGGGCTACTGTGTCAGTTTACTTGTGCCCTGCAATAAGACATATAAGCATTTACCGTTTCTCTTTAGTTTAGCTGGCGTCGTACTAACATCAGTTTCTTCAGAAGCACCACTAAAAGCTGTTCGCACCTTACAAAAAGGGATCTATCGTTGTTACTTGAATTTTTGTTATCCTTCTCTCCATTACTCCATTTAATTGAAATTTTAATTTGAAATAGTTAATAATAATTTGAAACACTGAAATAGCTCGCTCCATCTATGAGCTACACAAAAGGGCTGATGTTTCTTTTGATGGAGGGTTTTTAAATCTTTGGAGGGGAAGAGTTTGTGGTCTAGATGGTCTAAAAGTCCTCTCTTCTTTCTTCCTTGTGCAGCAACAATTAGCACATTTGTCGCGAAGCTATTGAGCAAAACTATTGGCACAAAACTATAGTGTAGATATTTACTGTGCTCTGATTCATTATGACAAAGTCATACTGACTATAATTACTGCCAAAACCAATGGTGGAGAGCAGAGGTGCGAGTGGTCAGATATTGCATGTCTTCTCCTTTCTACAGAAAGCTAATTCAAAATCATAAGCCACTTTAATTTTAAGCATGTGTCATAATGCCATCATGCCATGATGTCATAACCGACTCTCACTCAGGGCCGTGCTTACTTAGTCATTAGTAGATTGTTATGTCTGTGTTATTGTTTGGCCAGGTTCAAGCCTTATTGTAGCTCTAGAGAGAAATAACATTTTGCTCATTTGAAAATGAATAAATGAGCACAAAAATTTGATTCCCTGCCCAGATTCTTCTAATTTGCAACTTGAAGCTATACGCACAGTTCTTGGCCACTTAGGGAGGAAAGGAAAAAGCTATAAACAGAACTGTGATATTATCACTTTTTGTCAGTTTGTTAGCAAACAGTTGCCTATCTGTATGCACAGAGCAACACTTCCACTTGGAATAGTGTTTCCAGTTCAGTCCACATACACTTTTCTGAAGTCTGTTTTAATCTCCGTCTTAGCTTTTGTCTCCTGGTTTGGTTCAGAAAAATACTGAAAAGAGTTTAACAGAACTCCAACAAACCCATTTAGCATAGCAATTAGATTCAGTGTTAATATAAAAAAAATGTTTGCACAACATTAGCTGAAAACAACAACCAGAAATGTGTTCACGTGTAACCATCCCTGTGACACATTCCTGTGGCTGGCTAGTATATTGTTCACAACCTTTCTGTGACCTAACTATGGCACTTGAATTGCTTTATCGCTTCGGGGGAATTATTCTTTTGTTTGGCAAACCTAATTAGGCATAGGTACCATGCTTTCTCCTGCCAGGTTCCACAGGCAGTCTCTACCAATCACTAAGGACTTACGCTTTGTCCCCCCTCCACAGAGAAGGAGATATTGTTGAGGATGGCACGCCCAGCCTCTGTGTATTTCACTGTGAGGCCCCGGACGTCCAGCTGGCCACAGTTAGGCCAGCAGTCACGTGCATGGGGGTTGTCGATGACGATATCAAGGCCTCTGCCACCTCCTTTAGGTTTCCCCAACCGAGGATCTTCTGATGGTAGGTCGATGAATTTGAATACCCGATTCACTGAACGCATCTAAGAAGAAGAGAGATACAGAATTTTTCTTTCAATTTGTTTCAGTTGTTTTTATATAGCGCCAAATCACAACAACAGTTACCTCATACTGCTTTATATTGTAAGGTAAAGACCGTACAATAATAGAGAAAACAGAGAAAACCCCAACAATCAACAAGCCCTCTGGCGACAGTGGGAAGGAAAAACTCCTTTTTAACAGGAAGAAACCTCCAGCAGAACCAGGCTCAGGGAGGGGCGGGGCCATCTGTTACAATGGGTTGGGGTTTAGGGGAAGAAGACAGGGCAAAGACTTGCTGTAGAAGAGAGCCAGAGATTAATAATAACTAATGATTTATGGTGTGTAGTGAAAATAGTGAGAAGAGAGAGTTAAAAAAAATGTGAGTGAACAAGAGCATCACGAGAAGCCTGGCTACAGTGCTGAAGAGAAGCCAAGGGTTGTTCTTATTTCCTTCAATCAGTGATGAATAGTAAGATGTTGTAGCTTTGTGGAGAGCTTTTTTATAAAGCAACAAAAAAAAAAATTCAAGGCTAAATGAAGATCTTCTAAATAGTGAGATGCCATTTTCCCTCCAGGCTATGAGTTATCTGCTTGCTCATGTTTGGGAGTTTTACCAGAGTCAAGTACTGATTTGAGGCTTTTTTTGTCAGAGGAGCCACAATATCCACAAAAAAGTCATACCTGATGAAGATAGAAAACGATTAACAAGAACATCAGTTCATGCAGCTGCTCTGCACTGTGGCATTGAAGAAGATAATACTGGAGGAATGATAGCCTTAAAATTAACAGCATTTTCTGAAAGACATCTACTGTGACGAAATGTATTCCCCAGTGCCGTGTAAGTCATTATTGTAATTGTAATGTTATTATTATATGAAATGACCAGACAAAAGAGGGTTTTGGTGAATACTTAAGTGTTCAGTTTCTTTGCCGTGTCAAAACAAGATCCAGTGTGTGATTAAAGTCATGGGTGGGTTCTTTTATATTTTCAGAGACACCAGTTGAGTCTAAAATTAGATTAAATATTCTGTTGATGTTTTCAATATCTACATGTTAAAATCACCCACAATAATGATTTTATCTGAACTGAACACCAAATCAGAAAAAGAGTCAAAAAAATCAGATTGTCTCTGAAGAACTCTATTGACAATAGATAACCATTGTCTGGTTACCTATTGTCCACCAGGTGGATAATAGATAAGTAATAAAAATGGTTTTTGAGTCTTCAAGTCAGGGTGGATAAGGCCAAGCATCAGGCTTTCAAAAGAAGTGAAACGCTGTCTGGGTCTTTGGATGGTTAATAAGCGGGAGTGGAAGATTGCTACCCCGCCCCCCACATGTAAAAAGTTAAAAAAAAGAGGGATGCTTCCTTACATCCCATTTCCTTATCTTAGCTGTAGAGAAGTTGACATTCTACAGATAAACTTTTTTCTTAAAATGCAATGAAAATGTGCTTATCAGAAGTTACTTTAATGGCTATTTTAGTATCACTGAAAATATAATTCAGAGGCAGTCACACACACAAACACAATTCATACTGGACTGAACAGATCTAACTTATCCCAAACACACATCACTACCACCATATTGAGAGCCTGTGTCCATACTGAACAGAATGTCCTACACTGTGATAAGCTCTGTAAGATTCACTAACAACAATGTGGGAGAAAAAAAATGATGGATGGGCACAAAGTTAAGTCTTAAAAAAGAGCAAATGAAAGTAAAGTACAGGCAGTTCAGCCTGCTCTTTCTCTCTTTGATCTTAGACCCTGCAGTATCCTTCAATATTGGTAAGCCATGCTAAGTCAACAAAGTGCTGTTACACAGAACAAAAATGGCCATTGCCATCTTTAATCTGCTGCTGACTGCCTTTTTGATGGTGTAAACAAACTGACATATAGTATAAGGAGCCACAACTATTAACCACCATACCCATCTGAGATGTGCCTTTCCCTATTTGAGTATGAAGCATCTTGGGTGAGGAAAAACCCCACTTCACTAAGCATGCAGTGTCACCATCTAGTGTCTCACTAACCTACAAGCTGTGAATTTATTGGCCAATTGCTTTTATCTCAACAACGAGATCTAAACCTCTTACAAACAGTAGCTACAGGTCACCATTGACTGAAAGGCATCTTGTTGAAGAAAATGAGGCACAGTGTGTCTGAGCTGGAGAAGTTATATTTTGCAAAGGTGGGATTCAGTTCCCAAAGGGAAAAGTGCATAAAGCATGCTATTGTAACAGCAGTCATCGTTTTAGTACCAAAAGAATAGCAATAGTGCCCATGAGACATGTTATACTGTAAGACAAAGACCACGCAAAATGTAGATACTGCAGAATTCTAACCTTCCAACAATGTATATTGAGCAAGAACTTGACAACAGTGAGGGAAATCTTCCTATTAACAGAAGTAAACCAGCTGGGATGAAGAGAAGTGGAAGAAGGAAAATACTAACATAGAGAAACATCCAAGTTTTTTTCCATAGGTGTGGTGAACCAGAAGTCAGTACCATCAATAGTGAAATAGATTAAACAGTAAAACCTTTGTTTGCAGGTTTATTTAACAAAGCCTTCTTAGGTGTGTGCATCTGCCTGAATTCAACAACTTATAACTGGCCATTGACTGTGTGTAGTGTGTTGTGTGTGTTTTGTGTGTGCGTGTTGTGTGTGTGTGTGTGTGTGTGTGTGTGTGTGTGTGTGTGTGTGTGTGTGTGTGTGTGTGTGTGTGTGTGTGTGTGTGTGTGTCGTGTGTGTGTGTGTGACATACCATCCCATCTACAGCGATGCTGGTGATGACAGCCCACTGGAAGATCCCACAGATAAGCACAGCCAGTGCCACAATAATGCCAATCTCTCCTGGTTTGTCCCCTGTACACAAAACACATGGGCACACACACACACACACACACACACACACACACACACACACACACACACACACACACACACACACACACACACACACACACACACGCATCAGTGGTGTCCAATCAAAACTGCTCTCTCTGATGTCAGACCCACATTCAGGTATTAGAGCGCTGCTACTGGGTCCATTGGAAACTAATGAGCTGTGTAATGACCCATTAATGTGCTCTCAATATAAACTGATCCTATGACGCAACAACCCATGGGTTTGTGTGTGTATACCTGCATTCCAATTCACCAAGAAAACACTTGCCTCCTTTTTGTACAAGACATTTTATCCTTGGGCATTTGAGCAGTTCTGATGACTTTTCACAGGCAAACTGTTCCCTTCTTATCATCATCTAACTCTACACACTGCAAACTACAGATAATACTGGGGTTTTGTCCTTGTTAGGCTCAGCAGGCGTATCAAAGTGCTTACTAACCAACATGTGGGAATTTTCAAAATGTTCTTGCAACACAATTCAATTTGTAATCATCATTTAATCACAATGATTATTCTCATATTCTGTAATGTCTCCATTGCAAACTGACTTTATGATCTCTTGTCATTTGGTTGTTCAAATGCAACAGCTCCTTTGATTATAATCATCTAAAGAAATCAACTGGCCACAATCTAATCACAAAAATATTCTCTAAAGCTTTGACATTTGTCACTGATGAAGTCAAAGTGATTTGACACTGACTATCAGAAATGCAGAACAGGTTAATTGCCACTGTTTGTGGGCAGCCAGGTGCAAAAGATTCACTTTCATAGAGGAGATACCAAAAGAAAGACAGTCCTTTGACAACAGGGACGAGAACTGCAAAACTTCCCGGTAACTTCTGAAATGATGTTAACTGCAACTTGATTCTGGTGGTAGCCCTGCTGTGGAAAGCCGTGTGGATTTCCCAAAACACTGAAGAAGCTGCATCCATATTGTTGACTCGAGGTGAAACTACACCTCGTGTTTGATCTGAGTAGACCACAAAGGTTTAGACCAAATAAGTTCAACTTATTGTTATGGACTTATTATGAATGAAACTGAAATGTAATTTAGCATTCATTTAAATATTTTTTCTGGCAGCTTTCAAACCAATTATTTCAAAAAAAAAATTTAATAACATAAATACAAATAAAAAAGCTGTCAGAAAAAATGGAAATGCTGCAACAAAAATATGAACCTTGACTGGACTTTAAGGTGTGAAAAAGCCAAAATATTTAAGATAAACTTTATGTATGTTGTACATCACCACAAACACAGCTTCACTAACAACACCCAAAGGCAACAAACAGCCAATCCCCTTTGAATGCAGTTCACTGACTTGCCACTTGAGGCTGGTTCCAAAAGCAGGTCAGTCCTGACAGATTCCCATGCTGAAACTCCCAAACTTTAGCCATAAAAATGCCTGCGTTTTCACACTAGTGCTGTTTTTCCCCTACTTAACAACTAGTACTGGCAGGGATTTACTTTTATGTTTTTAAGTCTTACAATTTGGTGCACAGCTACCAGTTATCAGGCGCCTATGTCTTAGCTTTGCTCCCTCACAGTTTATAGATACAAATTGCTAACCAAGCTTGTTTGACTGTTATGTTGGCTCTGAACACTTTTGTCTAAATATTGACACTTCAAAATGTGGAGTCCATACACATTAGTTGAGGTCATGGTGGCTCTCTCTCTTTTATATAAAGTTTATTGTCCACGTGTAGTCACACTCACTGTTGCTTCCTGTTGCGATGAAGGCAGCCGCAGTAAAGAACACGGTGAAGAGCATGTCACAGCGGAAGAGAAACCACCGCAGAACAGACAGGTAGTGGAACCAGGCGGCCGTGTGAGTGTTCAAAGCCTTGTGGAAAAGTGTCTCAAAGTAGGTCTGGCGCTCAAATGCCCGAATTGTCCATAAACCCTTTAGTGAGAGGATGAGATGGGAGAAGATCGGGGTACGAGCTGCAAGAAAAGAAAAAAGAAAAGACTTTAAAACTCTTAATGTATAAGCACTTACTTTGTAAAACAATCCCTGCATTACATATCAGATATCAGACTGACAAATAAAAAAAACTGCTAACTAAATTTCTAAAAGGTCATTTAATTTCACTACTTGGTACCTTTTAGTTAGGTAACACTTCTGAACTAGAAAACTACAATACATATAAATTCATTAAACAAGAATCAACCTGGAAAAGTTATACTTTAGCAGCAACCCCTTCTGTAAAGTTGAAGTCACTTTATTTGCACATCTTATGTCTTTATGGTCACAATAATTTCTTCAAGATTAAAATTCAATGGCCATGTCTGACTAATATAAACAGAGCATAATTTCCACTGTAATTTGTCCCTGTGAATCCAGTGGGTAAAACACCAGGATGGGCTTAGAGGAAATCCCAGCTCAGCTCATTTCTCTGACCCCAGTGAGCTCTCAGCAGCTCCGGAAACATCTCAGCGTCATCACTGAAACACATATTCAGTGACAGAATCGAGGGCACAGCAGAGAGGCCCAAAAAACAGAGCGGCAACATCGTCAGCAGCTTCCTCATCCTCTGACTGTACAAACCTCCTTTCTTCTGCTCTGTCGGCCTTTAGCAACAGTGCAGTTCTTCAACTTATGACCACTAAACTAAAATGAATTTATATGTATCGTGTTGTATTGTAAGTCTCTATATTAGATACTAATTGTAAACATTTTAAACCCATTACATTTCTATTACATAGAAGTTTTGAAAGTGACTTTTACTTAAGTGCACTTAATGAGGTTGTTGATGACACAATATCTACTGTTCATGTGTGCATTAAACTGAAGCTAAAGATGGACAGCCGCCACTAGCAACACAGTACATGATGAAAATGTACTGTACTGTAATATGAAGACAACAAACAGATTTCTCTGTTACATTTATTACAAGCATCTGACTTTGAGAGAAAGTGTAGTAAATAAAGACAGACTCCTGTAGATTTGACCTTTGTAAGCCCCACGAGACTGTAATGATTATAAATGATTAAAATTACACTGCTTTGAAAATCTTCACTAATATAAACACTTTTATTATTCAGCAGGTAGGCTTGATTTTTAAAGCCAAAAGCCAACAATCTTTTCTGATGTCTTGAGGAGCTCAAAGGAAAACAACCAAATATGAACGTTATCCAAGTCTCAATACTGGAAGAAAACTGTTCCTCTCTTTCTGAGACACCCTGTCCTCTGACTCAACCCTTCCTCTCTCATGTTTTCATGTTTCAGTGACTTTTGGCCCCTAAGCCATCTGCCAGCCTTGCCCACTGACTGTGGTTCCTTCTCAGAGGAAGCATCCCTCTTCCTCTGTTCTCAGTATTGGTTTTCCTATTATGTTCTCACTTTTACTGATATATGTCACTACTCACTTTCATTTATCTACTCTTTTCTGAGCCCATTTTCCCTCCCCTCAAAAAGAAAATAAAAACTCATCTTCAGGATTAAAGTCTGCAAGAGCCAGAGCTAAAGAACAGCACCCAGACATATGCCTAATAATGCATCACACACAAAGCAGTAAGAACTATTTAAATAATACCATTCTGCTTTATGAAGAAGCAACGTTTTTTTCTCATTTTTTCTAGCCTCTTTTCTTACATAGGTTATTTAGACAATTTATCCCGAAAGCTATTTAAACATATTATTAAACTACAGCAAATTTCTTCCCCTCCCCCTTTCTACATTTTACATTTACTGCTGGAGTCACTAAAACCTAAAACCACTGTCATCTCTAACGGCCAACAACTCTCCAATGCTCACCTTCAGCCTCCAGGACTTTAAGTTGCTGTCCAGTTCGTAGAAAGTACTTCCTGAGGAAAACATAGATAAAAGCCAATGGGAGAGCAGCAATGAAGATGTATGGCTCTATGATGGACACAGTGAAGATGGCACCGGCGACGATCAATGACACCTGGTGTTGGGAAAATATGTTAATAACAGATATGAGCAAACTTATTATTATTTGGTATTTCTGGCTTTAAAAAAAAGATGTTTTCAGTTTCCCTGTTCTTATTTTCACTGCATGTTTTCATTTTGTTTTTAATCATTTCTTTCTTTTTTATTATAATATGATTGTAAAACTTTTACAGAGGAATAAAAAACATTGTCCAATTTCTCCAGGGCAAGATTCAAAAAGTTAAAGGATAAATTGAGGAAATTGAATTTTGAAATTGAATTGTCATTTATTTATTGATTCTGCTTACAATTGCACCCCATTAATCAATTTACAATGAAGAAAGAGGGAATATTTGTCGCAGTAGTTTTCAGTCACTTTTTGCAGTTCCAAAAACTCTGCATCATCATCCTCTATATTGGATAAATACCTGTATGAGGTCAAAAAGCACCAATGGCAGCATGTCATCTATGATGGCCATGTCCTTGGTGAACCTGTTCACGATCCTGGCTGAAAGAGGACAGCGAAAGTATGAAGGCATTGTAGTAAAGGAAGATATTAATAATCAGCATTGATAATCAGATTTTGTTCTACAGGGATTCTCTACCATCATTCATTTATTTAGTGACATCATCTAGGCCATTAACCAGTAAAAATCTGTTTTACTCAAAAAGTAAAAAAGCAAAGCACCTGTTTTTATCGTGTTGAGCACAGACATGGGGGCTCGCAGCACAGAGCTAAGCATCTGTTCATGCAGTCTTTTGGACACAGTCAGTAATGTATGCACTAAAGGGAGACCCCTGAAGAATCCCAGGGCCAGAATACTGTCCGCATGGGCTACAAAGATGTAGATGATGTAATAAGCACTGGTGGGTGTCATAATAACACCGAGATGGCCAGGCGGCGACGATGCATTGGGGTGCTGCTCATCAATATAGTTGGGTGATGAAGGATTGGCGGCGTCCCTCCAGACCTCACTGTTGGATGTGAGGAATGTATAATAAATGTTACATGGAGCAATTCTTCATTATAGAATAGATCACAAAATTACCTTTTAGTGATTTCTGCATAATTGTGACCTCTAAATGTAAATTACTGATGTTAATAAACAGATATTTTTATTGCTGACTTTTGGTTACTCTCATTTACACGATTAAATAAAGCAGCAGTTAAATCAGCTCATGATAGAGAAAATTACACTTATAGTACTTTTTTTCAACTCGATTTACATGAACAGAGCTAATTCGTCGTCCCTCACTGTAACCTAAAGATGGACGGCTTTGTCTTTGTCTAGTAATTAACATGTAACAAATAAACAATTAAATAAACAAATAAACACAAAAAATAAGTACATTTAAACCTACTGTCACATTTAAAATCAGCCGCCAGTGAAAAATAAGAAAAGTGAAAAGAAATAAAAGACCTAAACACAAGTTCACTTAGAGCCATTTGACATGGATTTGATCAGAGGGTGAACTTCTGATCCATGTGGATATCTATGTGCTAGTTTTTTATTTCTTCAAGCCAACACACTACAGCGCAACAGCCATGCATGTGTCCCCTACTCGTTAGCATGTGAATGTTCACAGCGAAGGAAATCGTCCAAGGACCACCCTTATAAGCCTCGGACATCTCTGATAAATTGATTCGAAGTTCCTATTTGATGATGCTGGAAGGAATAAATGACACAATCTGCTTGTTTTGTCACCATACGTTGGGTGGCTGTAGCACAGGTGGTGGAGCAGGTCAACTTCTGACCGGAAGGCTGGTGGTTCAAACCCTGCCTGTCTGCATGCCAAATATCCTTGGGCAAGACTACTAGCCCCAGGTTCTCTCTGATGCAGCCATCAAAGCATGAATATGTGTGAATGTTAGTTAGTAACTTAAAAAACAGCATAGAAAAGAGTCCTTGTGTGAATGTGGGATGTTAAGTGCCTCAGGAGAGTAGAAAAGCACTATATAAGAATCAGTCTGTTTACCGTATACATGGGCCCCATTTGTGTAAATGTACTTTTAACCATAGTACTCAAGTTTATGATTTACAACAAATTACACTCAACAAAAATATAAACGCAACACCTTTGTTACTGCTCCCATTCCCCATGGGATGGACGTAGAGACCTAAAATTCATTCCAGATACACAATATAACCATCCCTCCCAAACAGTGGTCACAAATCAGTCCAAATGTGTGGTAGTGGGCACATCTGCTATATTGAGATAATCCATCCCACCTCACAGGTGTGCCACATCAGGATGCTGATCTGACATCATGAGTAGTGCACAGGTGTACCTCAGACTGCCCACAACAAAAGGCCACCCTGGAATGTGCAGTTTTGTCTCACAGCAAAATGCCACAGATGCCACAAGCAATGAGGGAGCGTGCAATTGGCATGCTGACAGCAGGAATGTCAACCAGATCTGTCGCCCGTGCATTGAATGTTCATTTCTCAACCATAAGCCGTCTCCACAGGCGTTTCAGAGAATATGGCAGCACATCCAACCGGCCTCACAACCGCAGACCTCGTGTAACCACACCAGCCCAGGCTCCAGCTCGTCGCCGTAACAGACTTGTGTGGGCAAATGCTCACATTCGATGGCGTCTGGCACGTTGGAGAGGTGTGCGCTTCACGGATGAATCATGGTTCACATTGTTCAGGGCAGATGGCAGCTGAGAATGTCCCAGTTCTTGCATGGCCAGCATACTCACCGGACATGTCACCCATTGAGCATGTTCGGGATGTGCTTGACCGGCGTATACGACAGCGTGTACCAGTTCCCACGAATATCCAACAACCTCGCACAGCCATTGAAGTGGAGTGGACCAACATTCCACAGGCCACAATTGACAATCTGATAGACTCCATGCGACGATGTGTTGCACTGCATGAGGCAAATGGTGGTCACACCAGATACTGACCGGTTCTGGGTCCCCAGACCCCCAATAGCGCAAAAAACTGCACATTCCAGGGTGGCCTTTTGTTGTGGGCAGTCTGAGGTACACCTGTGCACTACTCATGATGTCAGATCAGCATCCTGATGTGGCACACCTGTGAGGTGGGATGGATTATCTCAATATAGCAGATGTGCCCACTACCACACATTTGGACTGATTTGTGACCACTGTTTGGGAGGGATGGTTATATTGTGTATCTGGAATGAATTTTAGGTCTCTACGTCCATCCCATGGGGAATGGGAGCAGTAACAAAGGTGTTGCGTTTATATTTTTGTTGAGTGTATTTTGTCCACCTGGCTATAGATTGGGAGCCAGTGGAAAACCAGTGATTTACAGTAAGGTCTGCAAATACTATTTAAATAGTATTTGCAGTTAACATGATCAGAAAGCTCAGAGCACACTAGCTGACTATCCAAAGACAAAGAGAAGAATCATAATCATTTTCTGTTTAAGGCAACATGAAACATGGGACTTACTCAGTAATAAGAAAAATACCGAGGACAGAGCCAGCAACCTATTTGTGAAAAGAAAAGAAAATGCCGTTAATTAAATTCACACAATAACACAAAAACCCCAAATCTTTGATTTTTACCTCAATGACAGAGACAATGAAGATGAAAATGAGGACGTAGACTAAGTTCCTGTTGGTGTTTACGTAGCGTAGGTAAGTGTTCCATGAGGTAGTTTCAAAGACATTTTTGTCACGTTCATCTGCAAAACATTGCTGTCAAGAAACAGGATAGATGGGTTTTAACTATGTGACTCACTTAACAATAATTTCTTGATTTTGGTACATAGCACAGTTTGTGAAAATATTTCTACATAATCATTTTCAGAGACATAAGAGGATAATATGTTAAAAAGCCTTACCTCCATGTCTTCTTCATCCACATCTTCACTAATGTCATAAACACTGTCCTTGGACAGGCGGCGGGAGTAAATGTCCAGGTCTGATGCAAGGCTGTACTGCGGTGTGATGGAGAGCTTTTTCCTGAAAGATGACTGCATCTGCTCTCTGCGCTCTTGGCCCCGAGCACTGGTGATGAACTCCAAGACAGACTGGCGCCGCTGCCCGCTAAGGTGCTGAAACTCATCATGGTACAGGTTACTCCTCGGAAGTGCCTCCTCTATTTGTTCATCTTCAGGCACTACAGAGAATCTTCTCTCTGGGAGTTCATCAGACCTGTCTTCCACTGTTGTGTTTCCGGTTTGTTGAGAATTCCCAATGAAGGAGAACTTGCGGGCAGCTGCCAGAGGATTAAGGATGAGTGACTGCTTGCGTTTTTCAGGGTAGCCATCACCTAGAGGATGGCTTTGAGCTGGTGCATGTCGGAAGGACTGACGAATTTGCTCTGGGCCACGGAAACCAGCGGTTTCATCAACTGAAACCCTGCGAAGAGTTTCTGTGAGAATGGATCCACGCCGCTCAGCATTGACATTGTCATAAGCCTCAAGACCAAGAAGCAGGGAGCTGAAGTCTGGACGCTTGGCCTGCAGCTCTGAGAAGGTGCCATAGAAGTAACAATCTCCATTGTGCAGCAGAAGGATTTTGTCTGCACGTTTGAGATGCTCCAACTTGCTGGTTACTACGACACGAGTCTTGGAGGCCATAAGTTTACAGATGCAGCTGTGAGTGGATAAAAATGCGCACTTAAAAAAAAAGTCTGGCAAAGAAGGGCTTATTTCTTTCTAACAAATGCAGAATAGAAATTATAATTACCAGAAACTATAAATATCGAGCTAGTGATATGGATATTTATATGAATGTGTATTTATATATACACACATTATAAGAGTGTATATATAAATACATTTCACAACTCTAAAAGTTTACAAGCAATTTTGTCTGCTTTTCCAAAATGGAAGCTAACCAAAGACCATCCAAGCATAAAAGCGTTACTCTATAAAAAGAAAAAAGAAAGAAACACATTTCCTGAGAAGGTTACATTGTTATAAAGCAGTTATGACTCCCAACAGAAAAGAGCATTTTCAGAGACGCCAAGTGTTAACCTTGACTTTGAGGTCAATTTTTAGCCTAATCACCCCGACCTCCTCTACATGAAAGACTCTCTGTTATCACACGCACTTTTCAAAGATCTCTTTTTCTGTAGCAATGTCCAGGTGGGTGAAAGGCGCATCCAGGAGGTAGAGGTCTGCATCTTTATACACAGCCCTGAGAGAGAAACACACATGTTAGGTCACAGATAACAAGGAAGGTAAAGAAAATGTTCCAATTTGCTTTAAAAAAAAACAAAAAAGCAAACAAACAAAATTAGAGAAAGTATAAGATGCAGAAAGGCAAAGAAGAGAAGCTGGAATATATCAGTCACAGTGAATAGCTATGTTGATAGCAGAAGTTAAAAAAGTCAAGGAGTGGCTGCAAATTAACGTTAGCACACTAAACCAATAAATGATGCAGGGGAACATGAGAGTTTCTGGCTGATCCACAGAGATTTAAAAAAGCAATAAAGCTCGGGCTGTAAAAGCCACAGAAACCATAAAAAGCAGACAGCAACACACACATGAGTGATCTGTGATCCTGAGCAGCTTCTGATTAAGTACACTGATATTTATTCTTTTTGCTGGACACATATACTGTAGCTAGAGGGTTATTTTAATGTCCTTAATGTTTTATGATATTTCTTTTATGTAACCTGTTGCTATGGAAGTGCTACAGCGATGATGTAGAATTTACAGAAGAAACGCACAAGTTGATACAAAAAAAGAACCAAAATCCTAACTAATGAGCAAAGGTAGTCTGTGCTGACAGACAAACAAGAATGAATGAGGCCTGCTGACAGATGCTCAGGTGTGACAGAAACTACCTGGCAAGGCAGAGACGAGCTCTTTGACCACCACTGAGGGTCCCCCCTCCATCGATAAGATACGTCTTGTCTTTCTCGGGGAGCAAAGCGAAGTCCTGGAGAGGAAAACAGGGAAAGAGTGGGTATAACACATTAGACTGGCACATAAATACCTCAACTTCCTTGTTTTTATCCTCTGGATTTTTCATTTTTATGTACTGTTATCTTTACTCTTAACTCAAGATCTGTGGACCAAATTCAGCCCTTCTTAAATTTGAATCCAGTCCTTTTATTAATTTAGGTTCTCAACAAATTTTGGCCTCCTAGATGCAGCTGTGGTCTGCACTGCAACACCACCAAACCAAAGAGACAAGTGCACAGTCACTGCACACACCTGCGAGCTTACACGCTAACCAACACAGAACGGCACAGCAGGCAATTTCAAAAGGTGGAAGACTCAGAACTTCTTTACCAAGCATCTCTTTGCAAGGTGATCTCTGTGTTCAAAGAACATCATCTGTGTTGTGATTTTGGAAAACTAGAAAATCAATTTTAACTTTTTATTCAAATGTCCTACCCAAAGTTTCGGTTGTAAATTTTAGGCCTACTACACAGGCTATATACAAGAACATAATGGAAAGATGTATTATTTACCTTTGTTATTTTTGGCATTAGTAAAAATACCCATACTCGCATTACTTGTCACTTGCTCATTAGTCACAGGCTGTTACAAAAGTGTTACAAGAAATGAAAGCCTGTGAAAAAAATGTTTCTGTCTGGCCATTGATGCCATCCACTCAGTTAAACTGTTTGACACCCTTGTTGTAAAGAGGGCAGAAAATGAAGTGGACGATCTTCTTCATAAAGAAGCTCATTGATTTCATGGAGCAGTGATGGCCTCATGCCTGCTCACTGAATGAATGGGCAACAATGAAACATGTCCAAGAATAAAGAAAAAAGAACAAATGCAGTCCTCAAAGTGATTATAGCTCATTTTCAAAGTTATCCTGTCTATATGCTCTCATGGGCATTTTCAAAAATCTAACTAAACAAAAGCACAAAGCATAGATGGCACATGAACACTGTCACATAGACATATGGCAGCCAGTGATTATGAAACAGTTACAGCAACAGGAATGAAGTGACAGCACAAGTTTATCATCATTCAAACTTCCTACCTTTTAAATAGCTTCCTCTGTCTGGATAGGAGTGTATAAAGGACCAAGTTAACAAATTGTTTAACAGCTTTGTAAAATAAAGCAGTTAAATAGTAACAACAATAACAAAACAGAACAAAAAAACCCAACAATTAGAAAGAGAAAAAAGCCTCACCTTTGACTATCAAAAAACTCTTGTAGCTAAAATGGCTTTACAGTGGGAAGAACTCAAACATTTGACACATCTCCTCAAATACAAAATAAAGGCAGAGTTTTTCTATTGTGTATCAGCCACGAGATGTGACTCCACAGTCAATAAATATGATGGTCCCACACACGGCATGAGCTTCTCGACTGATTTCAGTGAAAGTTGTAGTTTTTTTATTTTATGTAGTTTATATTTTGCACATTGCTTTAGCCAAGGCTAATGTGTCACGCTAAAAGTCTAACTGATCAGTTTAGCACAGCTTGAAATGACTTTTTCAGTGAAAGAAGGAATCAGTTTTCAGTGTCAGAAGCAAAAGCCTTTGTGCATTTAATTATTGTTCAGGGTCAGATCTGTCCTGCTGCTTCTGCACTGGTCCAAGACAGTTAATGTTTCCATATGGAGTAGTATAGGTATAGTATAGTATAGTAGTATATCAGGGTCTTATTTTATTAACTTCTGGCATTGCATTGAGACAACTTTCAGAAAAATGAAATTTGATGGAAGTTATTTTTGTGTGTTCTACTACCTGGTGTTACTTCCAGCTGATGCCATGGATATATTCAACAAATCAGAAAGTAAAATCACACCAAACCTTTGAGTAATGTATGTTCAAAAACTGACACTTCTAAGTTGTGTGTGTGGGGGTTTTTTTGTTTGTTTTTTTAAATCTCACTGCCTCAGATCCAATACTCGTCCAACCAGCTTGTTGTGAGCTGAAAGGCTTGTATTGCATCCCAGTGACATAATGTGAGATTTCCACAGTAACAGAGGAGACATTATTCTGCTGGAGCTCCATCACTCAACACTGAGGCTTTATGAGAGAGTACATGTGTCAGAGTTAGAGACAAGCATAGAGTTTGCAAGTATGCAAGTATTTGTGTTTGTGGGACACATAATTGGTGTAAATGTGGACTGGTGAAACCTGAGCCATCGCGATGCCCTGCAGTGGCTCCACACAGGCAGCTTAGCAGAGAGAATCAGATCACTGACTAAGAAAAGACTTAAAAAAAAAAAAAGCTGGCAAAGATTTCACTCTGCTGAAAACAGATTTTTTTAGTATGTAGTCACATTTTCAATCCAGTAATGCTGCCATGCTTTCAGTGACTCAGCTTGTGATCTGTTTACAGTAGGGTGAACAGATCTCAACATACTAAATGTGGACAAACACATCATTTTAATTTTAATTTAAAAATAAACTGTTATCAGAGTGTCATGTAGCATGTACGGGTGAAAGCTTATTTTTATATATTGGTGATTCAATACAATAAGGAAAAAAGTTGTCTGAAATTTGTTCTTGGTCTCGTGCAATTGTTTGTTTATACTCCCATATTCTCTTTTTGTATTTTTCTTAGCTTATCTCCTTCCTATTAAGAGTTTTGGGGGTTTAGCTTGGCTGTATGCGCAGATTGGCACCATATCTAACAATTTTAATCCAATGACGACACACATGTCACCTCACACCACACACTTCCCTCCCTGTGCGAAGCTGACAAATTACTCAAGCAAACCATTTTCTCAGAATATACTGCCGCTTCATTTTCAGTTCAGTTTTACTTTTATAGTGCCTTATTTTCTTTATACTTGAGTTTATGGTACTCTCCTTCACATTTGACAAAACAAGCTTGTGATTTCTGGGAATTTGTAACTTTCCCTGATGGGTTTGGCATTAGACAAGATAATCTTCTCCTGACTATGGTTAAAAAGCCTTCACTTGATATACATTGTGTAAAAACCAGAGTTTAGAAATGTGCATGTTCAGCAGAATCAGCCAAAAATCAGGGACATTGTCTCAAGATTTGGAAAAGGGGGACAAGTAATAAAAATGCTGTGCAGTCCCACATAAAGAGGGATATCTTGTCACCTGAGTTCATTGACAGTTTACTTCTTCTCCTCTGAGAACAGCAGTCTGGTCAGTTCTTCTTATTTACCAGTAAGAAGCTATCTTAGTGGTTAAAAAGTATCAAAATATCAAGACACTGTCAAATTGTTGCTACATGCCAACAACTATTATCATCCATATTCTGAGAAAGCTCTGAATAGTATGCACCTCTGGTCAGCTTCCAGTGTGGCTGCCATTTTTAGGAAGTCCCATTATGGCCACTTGTTTGCTTGTAATTTCACTATGAACTTCAAACATGTGGCAATAGCTGGATCTGCAGCTTGACGCAGAGGTTTTAGTGCAAGAGTCCAAAGTTTTCAAGCCTGAAAGTGTAGTCACGACAGGACTATCATGACAATATCCTCACTTTGCAAACGTTTGTCACTTGATCCACAGACAGACCCGTGCTTGTGTTATGCCAAAGAGACAACTGAATGTAAAAGTGAAACCGCTGACTTCTCAGTCCATCTACATTTCCACTCAGCCATGGCCATGACCTCTGGGCAGTGGCCTAAACAATGAAACTCTCCCTTATGCTAATTCCAAACAAATAAATATTTTTAAAACAGAAATTTTCTGCTGTAATTTAAAAAAAGAAAAAAAAACCACATTCATTTGAGCAGGTTTTTGAAAATATCTTCACCCACATGAAAACAAGCACACAAAAACACTGCAAAAAAAGAAAAAAGGAGCCAAAGCAACAGGTGGCAAAATAACCATAACTACAAAAAATCCCAACCAATCAGAACACAAAGAACCACAACACAATGCGCAGCCTGACATTAAGAGAGGAGATAAAGGTGCTCCAAGACAAAACCTTTGTTTTCCAGAATGGAGATTTTTTTTCTTTTCAGTGGCTACAAACATATTTCACGTGTCAAAACACAGAGGAAAAAGCTACGTTTACCAAATTACCATAAACATGTGGGCATTCCATTTGATCTCTCCAGTCAGAATTTTTTTAAATCCCAGTTGGAATTTTTTACTGGAATGGCCTCTAAAGGTGGATTTCCAACTCAGAAAGCCAGAGTAGCCCCACCAACTCTGATTTAATTATATAATTATCCAAGATAGCAGTAGCACACGTAGCATTGGTAATTTGTACTGCCACAGCTGTGCATTTGTAACTAACTAAATAAGCCATTAGCAGAGCACTGGCCAGGCTGTACCCATGAACTTGCTGCTTTAAAAAAACACAACAAAACTGAAAACCCAGCACTTGGGTGCACTGCTAATGCATGAACTGCACATGTACTTTGTGCAATAAGTACCAGGTTATCTGTATTCTGCATGAACAGCTACAGCCACCATGACTGAACAAGACAAATATAATTCCATGTTTGCAAAACAAAAGACACAAAGAAAAGGCAGCGAAAGAGAATGAAAGGAATAAAGGTACCTCTTCCAGCTGGCAGGCCTGAATAACAGAATTGTAGCGGTATTCATCATAGGTCAGGCCAAACAGGATGTTGTCACGAATCGTCCCTGGCATAATCCAAGAAGTCTGGGGTGAGAAGGAAATGCGACCACTGTGTCTAATTTTACCCTCTGTTGGCACCAGTTCTCCCAGAATCATCATGAGCAGGGAACTCTGAAGGAAACAGGAGAGCATGGTCACACTTTATTCTTCTTCATCTAACTGTGTTCTCAACTCAAGGAATATGGAGTGAGTCATCATGTTTCTTTCATTGCTCAAGGGAAACTGGCATTTATTACATGTAATTATTTATGAGCCAATATTAAGCTATTATGACAGTGAAGGTTGCAAATAAACTTGTCTTATTCAATTTGTTGCATTATTGTTACATTATTCATTTACTATTGTTTCAAACGTGTGTTGCCAAGTTGCACAGTAGCTTCTTTAAGGACAGATAGATTATGCACAAGAACACATCTAATACGGCTGAGGGGTGTTTCTTCCATCTCTTCTTTAATTTGCATTTATTGTCCATTAAATTAAAATTATTTACCAACATCAATATATTGACAAAAAGCAGAAAGACATATCGGTCAGACTCCAGTGACTCCCTAACCAGAATTTAATTTGACTGAAATCCTACCTTTCCTGAGCCAGTGGATCCAGCCACAGCGAGCATCTGGCCTTTGTCGAGGTGCAGGCTGATGTTTCTGAGCACAGGGGTGACATAGAGATTGGTGAAGAAGAGCCCGGGGTCACCATTCAGGTGTCCATTTGCTTTGCTCTCCTGCTGGATCTTCTCAAACAACTCACCGATACGCTGTAAAGAAGTTCATAGGCAGTTACTAAACATGATATCTGTATGTGGCAAAAGATTGTTTAACATTTACTTTCTGCATATTAAGATTTCTTAAACAATTTAATACAAAAGAGTTCATTTTCTACACTTTAAGGTGACTTTCATAATCAAACATCTCCTTTTAATGTATTATAGTGAATCATGTGACACTTTCATTTACAAGACTGTGTACCTGCACACGGCATGCATGTTTCTGTTTTTCATTTTGTTGATAAAACTGCTTGCTTCAAGGCTGAGTGACTGTGTCCATCATGCTGTGCTCTCAGGCAGTGACACTAGAATAAACTACTGCTTTTAAGATTAGGCTTAAAACTTTCCTTTTTGCTAAAGCATACAGTTAGGCTGGATCAGGTGACCCTGAATCCTCCCTTAGTTATGCTGCAGTAGGCATAGGCTGCTGGGGGATTCCCATGATGCATTGAGTTTTTCCTTTCCAGTCACCTTTCTCACTCACTATGTATTAACAGACCTCTCTGCATTGAATCACACTTGTTATTAATCTCTGTCTCTCTTCCACAGCATGTCTTCTATCCTGTTTTCCTTCTCTCACCCCAACTGGTCGGAGCAGATGGCTCCGCCCCTCCTTCAGCCTGGTTCTGCCGGAGGTTTCTTTCTGTTAAAAGGGAGTTTTTCCTTCCCACTGTCGCCAAAGTTCTTGCTCATAGGGGGTCATATGATTGTTGGGTTTTTCTCTGTAGGTATTATTGTAGGGTCTGCCTTACAATATAAATCGCCTTGAGGCGACTGTTGTTTTGATTTGGCGCTTTATAAATAACATTGAATTGAATTGAATTGAATTGAATTACTGTGAGGAATTTGATTCTCCAAGGACAGAAGAAGACTCCCAGGGTCTCACAATGGCCTTATATCACCTCATTGGTCTCTACGTCTGTAAAGATTAATGGGCGACGCCTCTCACTGCTAGAAGAGGGGAACTCTGCTCGACTGCCTGGCTTAATCATTGACCTCTGTGACATTTTATGGGTCACCTCTAATGCCAGTTTGCGCTCTGGTTATATAGGTTTGTCCGTGTGATTCTCATTCTAATGAGGTGATGTGCACCCTGCCAGCAGTAAAGAAAGGCAACACCCAGTCCATTCAACTGCGAATGGCACATTCCAGGAAGAGGTGAAAGCCGGGGGAGAATCTGATTTGATCTCATCAAGAGTTCAGAGTTGTGTTTCCAGCAAAGTTTCCAGTATAGTGACAACACCTGGATAATTAATTAGGCAAAGTGACATGGGAAAAAACCCCACCTCGATGTTCTTTTTCTCACGGTATTGCATGGTCAATGAATCACACCTGTTAGATTAAGTTTACTGTCTGAGCTTATAGATAAGATTATACTGCTGTCTCCCAGCAATGGTGAGGAATTAACTATTACACCTGGAATTACTGTAGGGGCTGTCAAAATTTGACTTCTTCAAACATGCGAATGTCCCAATCTTGTATTAACACACAGATAAGAGTCAATGTATTACAGCTTGACTGATGATGTTTGGGGCTAGTAGTGACTGTTGACATTTGACTCAGATAATGATATATTTGGATTTACCCACCTCCATCTAAACACACACACACACACACACACACACACACACACACACACACACACACACACAGAGCAGTACATCACAAAAAGCAGAATACTGGACGCCTGTACCATATGAGTTAAACATATCAATTACATTTTATTTCTAAGCCAACTAAAAAACAGATCTTTGATGTTTCTGTCCAAAACTTCTTTATACTTATCATCTTACTTATACATTCAGCTCAACCAGCCTCCCAGAGCCAGTTTCTGCCAAAGATCTCTGTTAAAAAGGAATTCTTCTTCTTTACTGTAACCAGCTGCTTTGCTCCCTAATTAAACTCAATGCATTACCCTTGCAATTAGAAAATGACTGTATATTGCTTTTGTGGGATGGTTCAAGGAGAAAGCCTTTTATGTCTGAGAAGAACACGACAGCACTGCTTCAGTTTGCAAAGTTGTGTTGAACAAACCATGAGATTGGAACAAAGTCCTGAGAACATACAGGACCAAAGTGGAGATATTTGGCCATAATGTTTTGCCTTTGCAGTAAGTAGCAGAAGCATTCACTTTCTTTTAGGCTCAACAAATGGACGTAAACAGACCTCATCCCAGGATGCGGACACATTGACCAACTCCAGTTCTGAGGTGGTGAGGTTATACTCCAGTCCACTGTATTCTTCCTTCATCAGGAAATCCTGAAGAGAAAAAAATACATTTAAATTATAAAATGCATTTAACTTATACAGAGTTTTTAGGTTATAGGCGTATAAAGACTGAAAAATTCTGGATTCATTATGCTGATGATTGTTAGCAAAGTTATTGTCACGGTACTGGGCCATGAGGCCCAGGGTTTAAGTTCTAATGCATATTTTTGTATCCACATGTGTAGTTTAACGCATCTAGTTGTTTTCTAGTTTGCAGTTTAGTCCTTGGTTTCTTAGTCCCTTTTGTCATCTCTCCCTGGTCCGTGTGTCTACCTGTCATGTTTCATGTCTCTGGTTAGGTTAAGTTCATGTTCTATCTCCATGTCTATGTCTCTGTGTTTCCTGTTTTATTTTGAAAGAGTATGGTGTTCTTTGTTCATTGTAGTTAGTGTTACTCTCCCCTGTATTGCCATTATGTTTCACTCTAGTCAGCTGTGTTCTCGTGTGTGTATTTAAGTCCTCAGTCTTCCTTTGTTCGTCGCCGCGTCGTCTGTTCAACTTCCCCCATGTTACGCCAGGTTTCAGGACTCTGTGCTGGTCATGTCCATGTTGCTTACGTGTATGCATTTCATAGTTCTTTGTTGTTCCAGCACAGAGTCCTGTTCATAGTAATCTCCGTCATATGCATCGTTGTCACCCTGTCTTCGCTTTCCCTGCTGTCTGAGTTAAGTGCCAGTTCTTAGTTTTCCCAGTTCAGCTTCTAGTTTAGTTTTGCCTCTGTGCTTTCTGTTGTTTGCCACGTTAATCAGCCCAAATAAAGGCTCGCTTTTCGTTTCAAGTTCAGTACTGTCTCCTCGTCTATGTCTGCACCTGGAACCTCACACTCCCACACACGGTCCACCCGCCGCAGACCGTGACAGTTATAACATGTGTAGGATCATTAAAAGCATTTGGATGACAAGCATCTATCTCACCACATCTCTCAACCTACCTCAATCTTGTGGAGTAGTGTCATTGTGTCGTACCACATCTGGAGGGAACCTGGAAACTGGCGGGTCAGTGTCATTCTTAACACCATGAAGTAGGAGGCTGTGGTGAAAATTCGACGCAGGATGATGCCTTTACTGAGTGCATATGGTATAATCGCTGAGAGGATAACAAAGATGGCAGAGAAGAAGTATGACGCGCTGTAGAAGTAACGGAGAGATCCAATCTTTCTCGTCAGTGTCATCTCATCCCTGCGGAGGAAAGTGAAAATGGAAGAAAGAACAAAGGGTTTTCATCAAAAAAGGGAACTATACACAAAAATATATGTTCTAACCTAACTAACACATTAGATTACTAACAGTAGGATGCTCGAATTACTTTAGGAAATTTCATTATGGTAAAAAAAACAAAACCTGACAAAGTGTTACAGTTAGCTTCAAATGGCACAATTTAACCTTGTTTTCTCAATAATAAAAAAGCTGTTGTGAGAGTTATTCTCTGTGTGTGACAGGATGTGTTTTATATGTGGTGGTGTCTTACTGCCTGATGTTCTTGATGATATTTTCCATCACTTCCTCCCAGCCGTACGCCTTCACAGAGTGAATGTTCTCTATAATCTCTGTGGTGAGAGCTAGGCGGCGGCTAGTCATAGGCGCTCTGTTCGCCCTGTTCAAAGGAGAAAGTTTTACCAGAACACCAACACAATTTTATAGCAAGGAGCATCAGAGGATCCACCTATGCATGCATGAACATTCTCAAGTTTCTGTTTATATATGGACCTGTGCCATTTTTGTTGTTTCTGGACAGTGTTAGTGTTCACATTTGGAAAACTACTGAGAGTATAAAAGTTTTATTCACTGCTAACCAGCTATAAACAGCTACTCAATTCTCATTTCCCTCATTTTCCCTACTGGCAGTCTCCCTAGGCAGGCTACGTTATGGCTTTAAGAGAATATCCAACTCCACTGTCTTGGACCACAACTAGTCAGGGTAGTTCTTGTTCTGAGAACCAAAGTGAACTGGAGAGCCACTCAAACCAGAACATTCAGCAAGTGAAGAACATTCATGCATTGCTATTTTGAGCTTACCAAATCTGTGGAACATAACACAGACTACAGTTACCAGCTACTGTCCAAGTTGATGGAGTTGAAGTTCATTTGTAGGATGAGACTCTTTATAGCGGGAGGTGATTAAGATTCCATCTATTCAATTTGTTCCACTTACTAAATTCAGGGTGGCTGGAGTGAGAGGCAGGGTATAACTTGGACTGTAGGAGGAAGCCCCACTACATGGGAGAGAACCCACACAGACGTGGGGCGGAAATGCCAGATTTTACTCCAGGACCTTCTTACCTTAAGCTGTCAGGCAACAATGCTACCCACAGCACCAATGTGTTGCCCACTGATTAATATTACTGCAGTACTTGTTACAAACTACCAGAGATAAAATATCTGGAGAGTAGAGTGGCTGTAGTTCAGGAGATAGAACAGGTCATCTATTAATCTAAGGGATGCTAGTCTGATCCTCGGCTTGGGCAAGATACCAACCCCACGCTGCTCTCTGATGCAGCCATCAGAATATACATGTGTGCTAATGTTAGACAGATAGCACTTAGGTAGAACAAATGCTAATGTGAATGAGGCAAGTTATGTAAAGTACTTTGAGTACTCAGAGTAGAAAAGCACTGTATAAGAACCAGTCCATTTACCATAAATTGAACTGTGACTTGTTCAAGAAAGCTAGCATGCCTGCTTTTATGGCACACAGCTCCACTGCTACAAAGTGAAACTAATATTTTTAATATTTGGAGAGAAAAACACACATTGCAAGACAGAAGACACAAATACAAGTGTATATTGATATGTAATAGGGTAGATGTCCAATACTAAAAGTGTGTCTGGTTGTGCTTTACTACCGATGAGGTGCCATCTTGGTGGAGAGCCAGGCCTGGACGATGCCCATCAGAGTCAGTGCTGCAAGGCCACAGAAGCCGTTCACCTCAATCAACTCCCAGACCAGACCCACACACAATATACACTGCAGAGGGGTGATCCATATAAAATGTGCCAGACCCAAACTCTGTACACACAAAGTACACAGAAATTAAATTAGTGTACATGTAAGATGACAATGTGACGATACAAAAGGGCTATTTTACAATTGATCAGGCGCGTGCGCGCGCGTGTGTGTTTACCAAACAATCATTGCTTTAAAAAAATGGTATCTGACAGGTTAACTGAGGGCTATAACTAGGATCAACATAATAACAGAAAGCTAGCAAAAACAGAAACAGTGTTTTTGTACAAAGAGGAAAGTTGACCACACTACGGGACAATAAAGCATATCGCTTAATGTTATGAAATAGCATTTGAGAAAGAGGTCCACTGAAAATTACATAAATAAAGGTTCAATCAGTACACATGCACAATCAATATTACATTGTGATATATATTCTTTTAGATGGTTCCCTTGAAAGACTTTATTGCGCATTATTAAAATGTTAATAATTTATGACTGAATTGAATCCAAGCTGACTGAAGGAGTGAATACACAGTTCTCAATAAACACTGCGGATATGGAATAACTAGTCAATTTTCATAAGTGACTTTGCCAATTTCAGACACTTTCATATTGGAAATACTCAGAGTGGTTTTGGTGAAGGAGCTTCCTAGATACTGTGTGCAGGAGGCAACACAAATGAAGGCACTGGAATACTGGCGGTGTAATTCACGCATCAGTGCAATCCAAAATCACACAGGGAACTGGTAGGTTCAAGACCACCTGATGTCCAATCATTCTGATGGGACCGGATTCTCACATGTAAGGCAAGTCCTAAAAACATTGAATCCATCTAATCTATTAATCTCAGCTCTCACTTTACTTGGGTCCTTTCATCCACTCAGCTGCAACTTTCATCTTGTTATTCCACACTCATGTAAGAACTACTACACAAGGTACCACTGTACCACCTTTACACAAGCCACATTCGAGCCAGGTGATAATTGTTCCAACGCAGGTTGCATAGTGTTTCCACATTCAACACTTCAGTGAGAGCCAAGACAAACATGCATACATAATCACGAGTTTCCAACACTGCGCAGGTAATACTTGCTTATGTACTAACACTACACTGTATATAGTAATGCACTGTTCTTTTGTCCTCTGTATGGATAACACAGTTAGTGTTGCCTAATAAAACACATTCACTGAAGTCAGTGACAATGTGAATTCTTGTTCCCCTTATCCTGGCAGAGACAACTCCTCCCATCTTCTTCTGAATGGAAAACTACTGTATTATTTCTATGAATAATCTCACATTTCATTCACTTTTCAACAGAGTTGTATTAACTTAAAAATTTCATGCCCCACTGGTTTCTAGCACATTTTTTTTATTTGTGTGAGGATGTTCTAATTAAAACACTATCTTCTTCTTTCAGGTCCTCCCTTCAGAGAACACCACAGCAGATCATCTGCCTCCTGCCTCCATCTCACCCTATCGCTCTTCTGTCACACCAACCCTCTGCATGTTCTCCTTCACTACATCCATGAATCTTCTCTAAGGTATTCCTCCTTTTCACCAGCCGGGCTGCTCCATTATGAGCATTCTTTGTCCAATATATCCACCGTCCCTCATCTGCACATGTCCAAAAAATCTCAATCCTGCCTAACACTAACTTTGTCTCCAACATGCTTAACCTGAGCTGTCCCTCTGATATAATCACTTACCTGTTACCTGGTCATCCTGGTCTCTCCCAGTGATAATCCAGTTCTGCCTCCTGTTACATACCATACATCATAGCAGGTCTCACTACCATCTTGTAAACCTTACCTTTCACTCTTGCTTGCTATCCTGGTATCACACATCACCCTTGACACTCATCTCCATCTACTCCACCCTCCCTGCACCCTCTTCTTCATCTCTCTTGTGCAATGTTCACTGTTTTAGATGGCTGACTCCAGGTATTTAAACTCATATACCTTCGCTACCTCTGCTCCTTACAGCTTCACAGTTTCACCTGTCTTCTTGTCATTCACACACATGTATTCTGTCTTGCTTCAACTGAATTCCATTCCTCTTCTCTCTAGAGCATACCTCCACCTCTCCAGGCTCTTTTCCACCTGTTCCCTACTCTCACTACAGATAACAATGTCAACTGCAAACATCATAATCCATAGACATCTTGTGACTTCATCTGTCATCTCGTCATCACCTCTGAAGCAAGAAAGGGATCCGGCATGGTTACAAATACAATCCTACGTCCACTTTGAACCTATCTGTAACTCCTACCGCACATCTCATCACTATCACAATTTTAGCACCAACTTCACAAACCTTTCTGCCTCTCTGGTCTTCCTCATGCAGGACCACAGCCCCTCCTTTTTTAGCACCCTACCATATACTTTCTCTAAATCTACAAAGACACAGTGCAACTCTTTCTCCAATCATCAAGACTCTCAAAGCAAACATCCCTGTAATCTATCTTTAACAACTCTTTCTCTTATCTTCATAATATGTCTTATCAGCCTTATCTCTCTATAGTTGTTACAGCTCAACACATAACCCTTGTTCTTCAGTACCAGTACACCCCATTCCTTAGGCATCCTCTCATTCCAAGATTGTGTTAAACAGTCCAATGCCCTCTCTAATGGAGACCACCTCCACAGTTATGTCATCTGAACCTTTTCACTCATGTCTTTACAGTTTTACATTTCACCCTCACTAATCATCTGCACTTCCTGAATCACTAACTGTCCTCCATCTGTCTTTCTCTCTCATTTTCTTTACTCATCAGCGTCTCACAGTGCTCCTTCCATCTACTCAGCACACTCTCTTCACTTGTTAGTACATTTATATTTCTATTCTTAATCATTTTATTCTGCTGCACAACCTTTCCAGCTCAATCACTGTCAATCACTCCCATCTTTCACTTTTTGCTGTTTGCCAAGCCCCCCAGTACTCCTGACTACTTTCTTCATCTCCCTAACTATCCCACGTTTTTCTTTGCTAGTATCTTCCTTTGAATAATTTCCTGCACTTTCTTATTCTAGACACCAAACAGCCTTTTGGCAGTTTCTCCCAGCACTACAGCTGTACACTTCTTTCTACATTTCACTTCTTCACTTTCTTCTTTCTTCATTTCACCATGTAATTCTTGCCGGTGCCTCTCTCTTTTCAATTTCCAAAGTCATTGTACAGCAGGGGTGTCCAACTCCAGTCCTCAATAGCTACTGTCCTGCAGCTTTTAGATGCATCCTTGTTCCGACACACCTGAATCACATGGATGGCTTGTTATCAGGCCTTTGCCAAACTTGAAGAGGTAATCCAATCATTTGATTCAGCTGTGTTGGAGTAGGGTTGCATGTAAAAGCTGCAGGACAGTAGCTCTCGAGGACTGGAGTTGGACACCCCTGTTCTATAGACTACCATCACCTTTCAGTCCGCTTTCTTTTTTGGATTACACCTTCTACATCTAATATAGTCCACCTATTTGTTACCCTACCCTCGTCCTTGAAGTACATGTTCACTTGTTCCCTCAGGAGCTTCTTGCTGTGAGGCAACAATGCTAACCACTGCGGCACAATCTTCGCAGGAGTTCTTCCTTCAAGATCCATTTCACATCTTATCTACGCCATAGCAGAACATTTTGAATCCACCTCCATTCCTCCTGCCTTTGCTTCCCTTCCACCTGGTCTCCTGCATACCTTCCAGTTACAGTGCATGTTTAGAGTCCCTACTCTCACCTCCACACTTCTACCTTGCTTTCTCTTTCGCTGTCTCCTAACACAGCTTCATTAATTCCTCCTCCTTTGTCTTCAGCCAATAGTAGCACAGTTTCCACTAGCAACCTATTTGCTATCAGCATCGGAGGCAGTTGTTGTAAACCCGTGACCCAGCTGATCTGGTATGGGAATCTGAAATTTTTCTGAAATGTGTGGGGTTTTTTATATTGTTGTTTTCCAAGCTAAAGCCCTGCGTATTATTTCATAAGAAAGTCAATAATAATGATAATAATAGAATTTCGAAACAAAGTACAACTTCTGGCTGATTCTGACAAACAATCAGCTTTTGCCCTTGAAAAAAAGGTCCAAGGTTTCTCACCTCATCCAGCTTGTTGAGATTTGCAGACATCAAACTAACAAGCTGACCAGTGCTGATCTTATCCAAGACTCTGCTGGACAGCTTCAGGGTCTGAAAATGTCAAAGGTCAGAGGTCAGCTGGAACACAAAAAGAGAAAGCGAGTAAAAAGTGGAAGTCTGTGACACACGGCCATGCTTTGACACCTGGCTGACATGCCCCTCACAGCAACCTGTGGACAGTCAAGTAAGTGCCTCTCTGGGAAAGCTCAGTCATACATGACAAACAAGGTGGAAGCTGGTCTTCAAAATATTACTAGGAAAACATAAAATCTAAGAAATGCAAAGGCCTTATTGGATGGGTTACTTTGTTCTGATAGCAGATTGTTACAGCAGTGACTAAAAGTAACAAGTATTCAATTCAGGTGTTATCAGCAGCTCAGTGCTACTGGCTGCAAGGATTTACACTTGCACTACACAACACTTCAGGAACAAACGCTATACGTTTTACTCTAGTTTTGTTGCAAATGAAAAATGCATTGAAATCTTTGAAATCTTAATATCATTGTTCAAGGTTAAAAATACAGTTTAGAAATAGTTAAAAAGTTTATAAAGGTTGGAAAATAGTTTCTAATCATAGATAATGTTCTTCCTTTACCTTCTTGTAAATAAGGCTAAAAAGTGCGATGCGGATCTGCATGCCAAGGTGATGCAGGCCAAAGATGGCAGGCTGCAACAGAAGGAAGCGGGCAGTGAAGAGGAGGCAAAGGCCCAGGGACAGGTAGAGTCCCTGACTTCTCTCTGGAGCATGGAACGGGTCAAAGGAAGCAATGATGCGACCTGAAATCTGAGGTTGCACTGTCTTGGAAGCCTCCTGCACAAAAACCATGGGACAATAAAGAGAAAACAATAACACCTCCTCGTGGCAAAGCAAATGTATTTGGCACGATAGTGCATTCAGATCATGATTCTTGCTAAAGCTGCTGGAGAGGACAGTAAATGATGAAAACGAATAACCAATGGTTTTGTAGTTGTAGTTAGTTCATCACTAGAGAATCAGCTTTCCTCGTGCCCTTGGAAGATTGTTAAGTATATTTTATCACCCCTGTTACAGGCATGGTAAGTTTATGAGCAATATACTCCTAAGTACATTTTAATAATGAGGACTTCTTTGTTATTCTGGTATGAATGTGGGAATAAATAAATGCAAATACAAAGAAAAATTGATCAGTTTCAGTATCAACTGCCATTTCAAATATGGGTATTTTAGGAAAGTGCATATTCCAATAATTTTTAATGTTGAGAACATGACATAAAGTAAAAACAAACAAACAAACAAACAATGAAACTAAAAGAAAATGTCACCTTAAAAAAAAAAAAAAATGCAGTTACATAATAGCAAATTCACGTCTGGATCTGGAATCAGCCAGGATCATTAGCCAAGATTCCAAGCATGTCCAGATAAACATTTTTCTGCCAGAAATCTAATAGCCTTAAACGACCAGAAAACTATGCTGGCTTCCACTTCAATGTGTTTTCGGAGCCTCTCTGTTTACCTAGTGTCTCCTCAAAATCCACCAGGCATTCTTGCCATCTTGACAACCAGCAACAACTGCACTAACTTACACAATGGCTGCTGTCTGGAGCTTCCCATAAGCCTGGGACAGTGAGCTGGTTTGTGACACCATGGTGTGACATGCTTGTGATGTTTGTGCGTCATTGCACAATAGCTTTATTGGGGTGTGCCAGCAGGACACCATAGTTAACAGGTACCACACACACATGCAGGTACAGCATTAACGAACTGCTACATAATTACAGCTAGGCATGCAGTCGAGCCAGGTCGAGTATGCAGTAGGTGTAACACAATAATTACATTAAAGAACATTTACCTGCTATTTTAACATGGGTGTAATTAAACAGGATGGATAAAGACTGTTTAATGTTCAGTCTAACTGGGTTGCATTCTCACACACAACTCTACTTGGTCATATAGAGAAATGGTTATTTATGTCCTGACTTAAAGACTCTAGCTGAGCGTTATAGTCATCACCATATTGGTGTTTTGAAAGCACAATCAATGGGTGGATGTGACCAATGTGCAATGTGTGCTCATATGGCAATGTCAGTTCTTGCTTTATCGTCCTTTGTGACTCTACATGCAGCTATAACTGAATTTCATATGGTACTCAATAGCACTTGAAACTAGTGATTAAGACCACAAAATTATCAGAAAAGAGTTAACTGAAGTCAAAAATCAAATCAGCACTAGGGGTTCTTTTTCCATCTACTTAATTATAATCTGATGTCTTTCATAACTAATGTAGCTGCCCCCTCCTCGTCCTACCATAATGATGTTCGACTGAGCTGTAGAACAGTGTAACAATAATTATTTTTGCATTTGAACATGAAATTTTGAAGTCAAAGTTTAAAGAATTAATTTTGTTTATGTTAATGGGTACATTTGCTAAAAAGACAGGTTAATAACACCTTCTAATCTCCAGCCTTTATCATATTTAAAAACTCAGAAAGACAGGTGAAGGTTTTACATCCCAATCCATCCATCCATCTTCTTCTGCTTTATCCGGGGTCGCGGGGGCAGCAGCCTAAGCAGAGAAGCCCAAACCTCCCTCTCCCCAGCCACTTCCTCTAGCTTATCCGGGGGAACATCGAGGCGTTCCCAGGCCAGCCGAGAGATATAAATTCTCCAGCATGTCCTGGGTCTGCCCCGGAGCCTCCTCCCGGTGGGACATGCCCGGAACACCTCACTCAGGAGGCGCCCAGGAGGCATCCTTGTCAGATGCCCAAACCACCTCGACTGGCTCCTTTCGATATGGAGGAGCAGCAGCTCTACTCTGAGCCCCTCCCAGATGGCCAAACTTCTCACCCTATCTCTAAGGGAGAGGCCAGCCACCCTTCGGAGGAAGCTCACTTCCGCCGCTTGTATCCGCGATCTCGTTCTTTCGGTCACTACCCACAGCTCGTGGCCATAGGTGAGGGTAGAGACATAGATCGACTGGTAAATTGAGAGCTTCACTTTTACGCTCAGCTCTCTCTTCCCAATCCGTGCTTTCAGAAGCCAGAGATCATGTGACCAGGACTTTATTTGCTTTCTGCAGTAAGTGTTTAAAAAAAAAATCTAAATTTGAATCTGCTTTATCTACAAGATAAAACCAACATGATCAAGTTATAATAATGATGGGTTTGAATCTGCAAGCGGGACTGAGCATCACAATTCCCAGTTAGAGATGCTGGATGTGCTTCCTGCAGGACAGACTGAAATACTCACCCCAAGGTAGAGGAGGACACCAAAGCAGGCGAAAGGCCAAAAGAAGCAGCGGGCCAGTGCTCTCAGCAGCTTTGGCTTTCTCTTGGCTGTGGCTGACACCACCTCCCTGTCCCATTCTCTGCAGGGAGGAAAGAGTTATATTGTAACACAGTTAAAATGCAGTGAAGAAGGCAGAATGGGAGAAACACACAACACCAGACAAATACCAGAAGGGTTTGGCTCTGGCTCTTCTATCTGTCTGCTACTACTTTGGCTGTGTACCAGCTTTCCTGAGTTTAATGGTCTGTTCCAAAACTTCAGCTGGTGATTAATTCACAGAATAAAAACCTGTTGCCATTTATTTAGGAATAAAATTTTTGTGAATGAATTTTGTACCTTTTAGATGTTGGGAATTTGAGTCTAGTTTTCTAGGAACTTCTACAAGTATTGTTAGGAATTACTTAGTGTAAGTTTGTTATAGCTCTATTAATTTCCCACAACTGCCTGGCAGGCAAGTACAGCTTTAGAGAGTAGCTGCATTGTTCTGTGAGGGGAAATTTATAGCTGCGGTGATGTGGCCAACCAGCAGCAGTAAGTGTGTGTGTGTGTGTGTGTGGGGGGACAATTGAGGAAGAAAGTGATTACAAAAAACATAAGGGGATTGAAGATTTACCTTTCATATTGAATTTGTCTCAATTTGTACAGGGAGAGATCCTTGCATTTTCAATTTCAGTGAGTCATGCAAAATGTCTAGGTGGCCATGTGTTACCTATTGACTGCCAAGCAGAGATATACAACTCTGGGCCACAAACAGGAAAACTGTGGGGATGGGGGTGGAAGGGATGGGGATATCCCAGCTGTCATAAGGTGAAATTCACTGTACACCCTGTACAGATCACCAGTCTATCACAGGATTAACCTATAATATTCCTGCAGGCACAGGGAGCATGTGCAAACTCCGCAGATACAGTAGTGAATCAAAAGTGCTAACCACTGTACTGCTGTGTACAGACAATATGGATAAGATAGACGTGACAAGATTTTGAAACTGAACGCTTCCTAGCTTCTGGTTGCTGTCTGCTTGCAGTCTGATTGCCACTGAATAATCAAGGTTCTGCAGGCTTTGGTTTCATGCTCCGTATGGAGTGTAAAAGAAGAGCTTCATTTGCCACAATGCATTCTTAAAATCTAAAATTTTACTAGCTTGTTTCTAATGTATACATATATACCAAACAGAAAGTCTTGGTTCAGATGGTTTCAATAAAAGCTTCAAAATATTGTCTGTTGTCTGCAGAGGCCAAATCATTATAGATTACGGGTTTCTAGATTTGCTTTGATAGCAATCTTCTTACCTAGTATGTTATTTATTTACTGCAACATAGATAGATCTAAAATAAAAACATCACTATGTTTATGATATCAACATTTAAAATGATTAAAATGTAATTAAAAACGCAGATTCGCGTGCGTGTATGTGTTGTCTTTACCAGACTTCATTCCAGCTCCTGCTAGATAATAACTGTCATGCCAAGAAAGCTCAAAGACTTGAGTTGAATTGGGGGTGATAAAAGAGGCTGACGGCACACAGCATGCTTTAATGGAAGGTAAAGTTCACGTTCCCAGAAGTCCTCACTGTTTGCCTGATCAGAATAATGAAAGCAAAATCACCCACCACTGCTCATTTATCCCCCTGGTGGGACTGGGCCCTTTCTAAAGGTCGACTTTATAAAACCCGTGTACACTGACCAGCCTTTTGGCCACATTTAGCGTGACGACAGCCCAACAAAGAGGCAAGACTACGTGAAACACTGCTGTGGTTTTTAGGCAAGGTTTAAAAAACATAAGAGGATTTAACTTTTGGGATTTAACTTTTGGGAAATGACTTGTCAAAGATGTGCCACCAGCTTATATCTGCAAGAACGGGAAAAGCTTAAAAAGGGATCAAAGGAAGAAAGTAACAAAATAACAAAAACGAAAAATTCAGAAAGCCCTTGTGCTGCTAGCATTGGGCTTAACAGGATACATTTAAATTAATTTATTATAAAAAATTGCAATCATTATCCAACTTTTTATTGAACAAAATAAATGTAAGACAAAGATAGAAACAGACAAAGAGAGAAACAGAAATAAATCAGAGAGAGTGCAAGACAGATGCAAAAAAAGAGGGTCAAGTCTGTCCATCATCTTTTGTCTGGCTGTTTGTTGGCACACACAGGTTTGCTTTATGTCAAGCCTTGTTTAAATGCCAGCCCTTATTGTGAAAAAAGAAAGGACTCATACCCTGCTACTGTAAACATGAGTAAAGAACATGCGTGAAAAACATCAAAGCCACATATTTCTAGGTTTCAGAATGTCTACAAGTTCCACTTACCTGGATTTCGTTACTGTGCATGCTACAATCAGCACATACCTAGACATTTTCTCTACATGTTTTAATAAAGTCAGTTAATGATTTTATTAGTTTCAGAGAATACCTTACAACCAGTTCCCCAAAAACAGGCTTCAACTCAGTGAGTTTAAAGGGGAGATCATTATTAATTTTGTTATTACTAATCTTGTAAGGAAAGACTAAAAAAAAAAGTGTTTAATTGTTCTAATAATGCACAATTACTCAGCCAGGATGTACAAACCTTTCAAGTCTCTCAGAGAGGTTGTCTGCCAGATCAAAGGAGGGAGCCTTGTACACATCTGACAGATCCAACTTCTTTCTGAAGCCCTTCCTTAACAGTGGTGTTACCCACCTGCACACACACACACACACACACACACACACACACACACACACACACACACACACACACACACACA